ACAGAAAAGAAGAAGAGCGAGACGAGAAGAGAGAAATGGCGAATGAGGCGGGATAAGGAAGGAGGTTGAAAACAGGGGACGAACACGAAGGACGGAACGAGTCATCAGAAGCACGAAAGACGTAAAGAAAAAGATGAGAGGGGAAGAGATGAGAGAAAAAGCGGGATGAAGAGAGACGTGGCTGTGCCCTAATAGATTATTAATTTACACGTCGGCTCTCGCGTGGAAAGATGACGGCAGAGAGAAAGGGAAAGACGGCACTTTTACACGGTGAACAAGATAGGGCTCCGCGCGTCGGCACCACACCTGTCCCAAACCCGTCTCGCTTGATTATCTTGCATTATGCAAAATACGTTTTTTATCACGCGCGCATCCTCGTAATAAACGGTTGTCCGGGCGACGGTTGACATAATGCGCCAGCTATTACCGGCCCGGGGAATTGAGCCTTTTCGCTTGACAAGCGCGAATGGTGGTACGAGAAACGGGGTGCGCGTACCCGTAAGCGGGATATCGGCGTGTCGATATCCCGCTTCTCGAGTTTCGGGCCCCGGGTGGAGATGTAATTCATTCTCTTGCGCCGCGCCGCGCCGCGCCGCGCCGCGCCACGCCGCGTTGTGCCGCTTCCCATGCGTTTAACGAACTCCTTGATTATTTTCGCTGACGCGGCCGATACACTCCGAAAGAAAAATGTACTCTGGCCAACCGTAAATTCGCACTGGCTTGATATTTACGGTCGCCTCGCGTCGATCGTGCTTGCGCGTTGCCATTCCGATCGTTCGGCAGCTCTTATCGTATATAATTCTTCTTCATACTTAATGGAATCTCGCTTCACACGATAGAATGTCAGAAAATTACACTCCTCAGCTTGTGAAAAATTATTCCAAGTGTCATGTGTACAAAATAAATAAAAATATAATACGTATATCTATAAATTAATAAACGCTTACAGGAAGCATAAAATCTTTAATAAATAATTTATGCAATTTAGTGCTACATATATTTTATAAAAATATCCTCGATATAAATTTATTTATCTGTTAAATTTATTAATGTAATTAATACAATTATATATTTTTTTCTTATTAGAAAAATAATGTAATATTTTTCACAAAATAATAATTTATATTTTTTAGTCGAACTTTACCTGTTATATATACTCAAATATTAATGTAATATGAAAAAACAGATGAGAAGAAAATTTCTGAAAATATTTAATTTTAATGTGCTTTTTGTAAAAATAATAAAATATAGTACTGTAAAATGAGTATTTTTAAAATAAAATAATGAATTATAAATATATAAAAAAAATTATTATAGTAAACACAGAAATGTATAAGTTATTTATATTTATTAAACTAACTAAGTTACAAGTTCTGAAAGAACTGTAAAAAAAAGATTCTAATGATTAATATATCATTCATAAGCTATCTCACATATTGTTCAAGAATTATTGTATCACTAAGTAAAACCAAAATATTGTAAAAAAGAAAGAAAGAGAAACGATTGTAAAAAAAAGAATATGTAATTTGCATTTTTTGAAACCATCGTTATATTCACGAGTGACAGACATGTCAAATAATCATTCACATGTTAATTAGCAAATTAAATTGCGGAAGGAAAGATGCTAGTGCGTGCTGTCAACGCGTAATCTTTCTTCTCCTCTTAACTTTCTGTCTGCTCTCGCGCGTTCCGTACGCCCACCTGGCTAAGCATTGAATTTATTGCATTATTAATTCGTAGTTGGATAGCGAGAGAGAGAGAGAGAGAGAGAGAGAGAGAGAGAGAGAGAGAGATATA